GCTATACATATTGACACAAAACGTAGTATTTAACCGCGATATATATAGCGTGTTAAGTATTTTTTTCTGAAAATAAATTTCTTTTTCTCATTCGGTCAGCTTTTCAGACCGACAAGACAATACACAAAACGTAGTATTTAACCACGTTATACACGTTGGCCTTTTCTGAAATGAAACAACTTTTTTGCAGTCTATCAGCTTTTCAGACCGACAAGACAACACACAAAACGTAGTATTTAACCGCGCTATATATATTCACACTAAATGTAGTATTTAACTGCGCTATATATATTGACTTTTTCTGAAACGAAACAGCATTTTCGTAGTCGGTCAACTTTTCAGACCGACAAGACAACACACAAAACGTAGTATTCAACCGCGTTATATATATATTCACACAAAATGCAGTATTTAACCGCAATATGCTATGCGTGTCACTATATATATACATAGTCACATACTCAAACATAAAACACACTCACATACTCAAACCCTAAAATATTGATGACTCTTCCTCTACCAAACAAGCCCGATCTTACTCTTCTACTAGCAATGATAATGAAGAAGGGAATCCTCCAATATTTGAAGTGGTTATGACTGATTCATGCGTCGACGATAACGATCTGGTAAATTATCATGTCCATTAAACTTTATTTCTTTAACATAAAATAGTTTTGTTTCTTATAACTTAACTCCAGAAAATATATATACATCAGTAATATCTTTATTCAGTTTCATATTTTCCGAAACTTAATAGTAATGTTTTTTTAAAGTATATTCCAAGAAAAATCTGCAAGAATCTTCCTACAACATTAGAACAAGCATATCTTCACCATTGTGGCAAAGAGTAGTATGTAAATATGAGCGTTGGTGATCAAAGAAGGTTCAAGGTAGGCTGGAGACTTTTTGTGTTGGAGAATTTTATCAGTCAAGGTTTCGTCGTCAAATTTACGTTGGTTGATGTTTCACCACTGCGTGCTATCTTCAATGTGAACGTGAAGGTAGACGGATATCCTGTTCGTACTAATCCCTTTTTTACTTTCTACTAGGATGTGTTAGTCTTGATTTATCCTTTTATTATCTTTTATTTCATGTATGTTGCTTTAGTTATGGTTGTTGTGCTTTTTTCTCTTGAAGTATTATGTTATGAATCTTCATATTGGTCTTCTTTACTAACACCATAAGTTGAATATTGGAACTATCATATCATCATCCCAATTCAAAAGGTCATCATCCCAAACATCTTCCTCCTCTGATAGTTTAATTTTCTAATAATTTTAGATGATAAGATGTGACAAGCCTATGGAACATAATTTTATTTGATACAACTTGCAACATAAATAAGTACAGACACTTATTACAAAAATAATTACGAAAATAAAACATTAGGTGTATCTTTGATAGTTGGGTACATTAGACGAACTTGCACCAGGAGTTGGATTACCACCGCCACCCAAACCAGCTGAAGGACATTTACGACGGTCGTGTCCTATTTGCGAACATATGCCACATTTACGTGCATAAATAGTATCACCAACATTTATTGGTTCCGTATAAGCATTCTCTTTTGCACTTGTAGCTTGTGCAAATAGTTCTTATTACACAACATTTTAAATGGTTCCGACGACCAATAATGCTTAGCACCCAATGGCTACAACTGCCCACTATATGTGTTTACTTATGCAGCAACACTGTATTACCTATCAACATAGTTGGTTTCCCCTAAACTAACTTGTTGAAAGCAAATCATGGTATGTGCGTACGGCATGTGGTAGATGGTCCATTTCCGACATGAACACAACCTGCTGGCTTCATTTACGGTGTGTAGATTATTCTCCCGGTGTTCGCAGATAGCGGTGCGAACTTCAAAAATACCCTGGTCGTAATCATACTGTAAATATGAATGCAAATGTTCTCGCCTTTTGTATTTATCAAATCTTCTCATAGGTATTGGCATAAATTCAATACCCCTGTCCATCAATTCCAATGCAGCTCTATGCCTTTCAACAAACCTCTCCGCCATCTGTTTGAATGTCAGTCGGACCATGGTAGTGACAGGCAATCCACGTGCAGACTTCAATAACCCATTGAATGACTCCGACACATTTGCAGTCAGGGCTCCCCATCGTCTGCCACCATCAGCATGCAATGTCCATTTGTGAAGCTCATGTCCCATCAGCCAATTATAGGCTCTTTCATCTAACTGCTGAATCGATTCCATGCGCCTCCTCAATTTGCACTATTGGTGCTCAGTTGCAGCCATCCACATTAAATCATGCAATTCCTTGGTGGGATATTTCTTCTGAAAATTGGCCTTCAGGTGCCTCACACAGTAATGGTGGTATGCATAGGGTTCCTACAATTCAGGCAAATGATGTACAGAACTTAAAATACCACTATGCCTATCAGATATTAGACAAATACCTGAACTTTGTTTGACAACGTGTTGCTTTAAGTGGTTCAAAAATAGCGTCTATGTCTCTTCGCTCTTATTGGCACAAATGGAAAAAGCTAGTGGAAATATTTATCCATTGGCATCTACCGCAACAGCGATCAACAATTAATATCATACTTTCCAGAGACATGAGTACCGTCTATGGAAATTACCAGACGGCAATGCACAAAACCATCAATTGCTAGTTTAAATGCCCAGAACACGTATCTGAATATATATTCCGGTATTCCCGGACTCCGCTCATGCCTCCATTCAACAACAGTACCGGGGTTCATTTATTTCAGTGCGGTCATGTACCTAGGTAGAGATGAAAATGACTTATCTCAGTCACCATAAATAATTTCAAATGCACATTTGCGCCCAAGATATGCGTTTCTTTTAGTAATAGTACACCCACATTCCTAGTGGACGGATGTAATACACTCTTTGATCTTGTACCTATTGGACACTTCCAAGTGTGGAATCAAGACAAGAGAAATCAAGTCTACATCCAAGTTGAAGTGATTCTCATTGAATGTGTCCATTTCATAAATGTGGGTGCTAATATATTCACCCACTTTCAACAACCCTGCTTCTTTCTTGCTCGTACGCAACATCCAGTTACAACCCATAAAGTATCTACGGCATACGACCTTGTATACCTCCGAAGTTGACTCTCATACCATCATCTCACGGCACTCTCTTACGCTATACATTTTACAGCCCTGGTTAGGCGAGCTTTATCGAGAAATTGCATGCCCTTTGCTAGCACCGTTGGCCTAGAATCACCCCACATTGCTGACCGAAATTCGTCAACATCCCACTATGAGGGCATCCACATCCGACATACTTGGCAAATTATCAAGGTAGGGAATATGCCTTGAATTAAACGGCACGTGGGACTCGTACACTCTTGGTCTAACGGGAGGTGGAGGAGCATGCTCCCTCGTTAGCTTAGGTTCGACATTTACTTCCTCATCATCATCACCCTCGTCAGGGAAGGGTGTGTCATCTCCAAACTCATCGGCATTGTTGTCAAAATCACTATTATCTTCCTGACTCTGTGCATCTGCCAAATACCAAGTAAATACGTCATCTATGGGCAACTGAGTGAGGTCAGGACCATCAAGTTCCTCATTTTTACTGCACAAACAACAAAATGATAAGCTACTCAAATTGATAAATACTTTACATATAGCTATTTACAAGTCGTACTGTGTTGACATTCCATGATGGACATTTTCCTGTTGGTGATGACTCCTGATGGACCACCATGATCTAACACGCCAAAACTACGCATATTCCAACTGTGCGTGGGGTCATAACTTGTAAACTTTATATCGGGACGGTACCCCCTGTGGAATATATGAGTGTTAATACAAATTCAATTCAACAAAAAAAACATCGTAACAGAAAGGAAAATTGAAGTTTACTAGTCGTCTTGTGGATTATGTAAAGTAGGAGAGAAATTATTTCCTCGCTCCTCGTTCGCCCGCGGAGATAAGTTAAGATCCGGCCAAACTCTTTTAGCCGGAACCTGTTGAACTAAAACTGCTCCAGAATAACCACCCGATGATAGAGGGTTATCCCTGCTTTGTGCAATCTCATTATTGCGAACGTCTTCAACCTTGATGTACATTTCCAATAATTTTATCACAATAAATTCCCTGTATTCATCCGGAATCCCTAAAAAATATCTCAGAGTTTCATCGTCTTTGTTGTTAAACTCAGAATAACAAGCAAACCCTTGCGGAGTCACATAATACGGATATCTTCCGATTATTTTAAGATTTACCGAACGTTTGCTCAATCTCATTTTATTGCATAACAACGATACCAGTCTATCGTACTCCATTGTAAGTGGCAACTTAACAGGACACTGTGGAGATAAACTATAGCTAACAGAGTTATTCGCCACCACAACCTCACCCCCCAAATATAATGAAACCCTTACTTTTCACTCTTGAGACATTATGAACAAAGTTTGAGAATTTAACAAGAAGAAAAATTTATCAAGAAGTTGGAGTATTTCTGAATGATAATTATCAAAACCCTTAACGCATTTATATAAGGCAATGCCCAATCCGGGGGTCAAATTTTTGGAAGTAAAACGCGGTTTAAAAAGCGTTTTACATATTTGAATTATTGTTATCTCAATAAGCGCAGAAGAATTATTGGTGAGCCCACTTAACATGTAAAACACGGTTCATTACTGCGATTTACATAAAGCGATGCAATGTACCACGTCTTATATAGCAGTCTTTTCAGGTTAAGGTAAAACGCTACTTTCTAAAGCGTTTTATATAAAACGCGGTTAGCCTTAACGGTTCAAACGTTTTATATAGATATGTAACTTTTTTTTTTACACTTAAAAACGTATTTTGAGTCAAAAAGAACAACATTTAGGTTCCGGACTCTGCTCGTGTGTACTGCTAATAAGCGACAGCCGTCCCTGGGATATGGAACTAGAGATGTTAAACTAGTCTCCAATTTTCTTACAATTTAATGTATTATTAAGAGAATAATGCCCAGTAGGGCTGCACATAGCAGGAAAGCTACAAATAGTTCAACAGAAGGCACTACTAACATAGGTCTCAGCAACATTACTAGACAGTATTTGGAGCAATGAGCTATTCTTTGGACCAACACACCTAGGGGTTTTGAACTGGCTAACTGCACCACCTAATCCTACAAAATGATCTAATATCTTATGAAATGTTCCCCTCTTCACAATCCTCAGCTCAAGTGCTCCAATTGCATTCACTTTCCGGGAGCTCACGTAGCCTGCATCGATGAACGACCTGTCCAAACAGTTGCAGCAGTCTTGTAACATTTCATCAGTTGCTTCACCACTCAGTTCCCAGAAGATGACATAGCGTCCCGGATCAGCTGAGACATTGACATGGCTCGTGAAGTCCACCACTTCTAGTTTTTCGTCTACTAAGCTCTTTGCTGCAGCTTCCACGGCTAGTTGTAAATCTTTCTCTGTGTTCTTGTCAATGTTAATGCTAAGCAAAAGGTTGCTTCTGCATACAAACTGGAGCTCTGGAGTCCCATTGTGGAAGCCTTTTATCTTTACCACATCACCTAGTCTATAACGATATAAACCTGCATATACAAATTCATAAACTCGTCAATATAACTATCCGTGCATATTATTAAAATCTAGTAGACCAAGTGATGCAACAGATACACTACTGGGTTGTTATTTAGAAAAGCAAAAGATTCCAACATTCTATGCGTTCAAAGACTGCTAAAGTATCTTTTTCAATAACCACTTAGTTTGGATAATCTAATAATTAACAACAAAAAGACATGAACATCAGGCACATGCAAGTATGGAGATAAGAACAAATATGTAACAACAGAACATGGGTGAAAAGCATGTTGAAGTCCAGAACAAGGCATAAAAACAAATCATTAATTTTACTATCTAAGCAGAATTTAGTATTTTATACCAGGCAGGCACATGCAGGTGATCATGTTTCCTGCAATTTTGCCACAAAATAATTTTTTGCAAAGTTTTCAAGAAAAGGGGTGCAAGAAAATTGTACCTGCAAAATTGGTAAAGACAATTTCATACTCTTCGCCAAGTTTAACTTCAGTCAGACCCACAGGAGAATTTGCTTGCTCCATGCCATTGAGATTTCCCCCGATAGGAATGAATTCAAAATAACCAATATTTGGCAATACTGCATAAGTGACTAGCTCAGGGGGCAATTTCGGGTTAACGTTTACTCCAACCCATCCTTCAGAAGAACCATAATCTGCACTCAATAAAGATAACTCCCCAGCATAATGCCTCAGTTTCTTCAAGTAAGGTTCCATTGATCCTGTCATGATACCATATATGTACCTTGTATTCGGGAAGAGTTCAGGAATCAAGCCGTACCAATTGCTTAATCTCGAGCACTTTTTATAAATTGTATCAGCCAGTTCCGGATCAGGCTTCAGCAACTTTGACATGGCTAATCTTATGGACGGGACAGTGACTCTACTCGACAGGACTCCCTCTCTTATGTCAACAACAAGTGCTTCCCATACTTGTTCAAAAGTTCGAAAAGCATGAACAATGCTATGGGCAAAGGTAGACGAAACAACTTGAACTTCATCGCGAAAAATGAGCCCACACAAAAGGTGGCAGTATAACGATTGGTGAAAGTCAGGGCCAAATATTACTTCATCAGGACTACAACATGGAGTACACATTGCTTTCATTGTCTTCTTGAATTGTGCATTTCTGTACACATTGGTAGTGGCTGTTCCAGCTGATAAACCTCCCTTTGTTTTGAACTGTTTGCTGCTGTAAATAAACTGCAAAGCCTTTCCATTCCCAATTGGAAATTCTCTTTTGAAGAAAAAAAAAAAAAAAAAAAAAGAGAACCACCACATTTAGGTAAGTTATAAAAAACCAAACATTTAATTTACTTAAAGAAAGAATGACCAGTCTTTTTCTTTTTCTTGGGATCGAAAAGCCTCAGGTGTGACAGAAGCTAGTTATGTGTCCCCCCAACATTTATCACCATTTAAACTCTTTAACTTTCCATGGCTGCTTCAATTATTAGAGAAATTTTTATGAACCAACTAGCAAATTGCCTAAGATAAAGAACATAGAACAAAATGACAAATGCATTACCTGTTCCTAAAGGCAAAAGAGGTCTTGAATATCTGCATAGTAGACTCCATCAATTCATCATTGAAAGGTACAAACTTTGGCTTCCCTTGAGTTGTACCAGAACTGCAAACCAACCACTAAATTTCCTTATTCAACTTCTAAAAACATCAAGAAAATAAGAACCCCACAAAAGAAAAAGATCCTCTTTTACTTTACCTCAATGAGATGGTTTCAACTGGTTTTCCAGTAAGAATGGGAGAAAGATCACCATCAGCAATTCTTTGAATATAAGGCTCTAAATCATTGTGAGTGACAATAGGGACACAATTCTTGAAAGTCTGAGGATCAGTTCTGCCATTCAAACCCCATTGCTCCAAATATTCTGTCCCTCCATTCTGTTCCAGTATCTTTTTAAGTGTCTCTTCTTGAATTCTGCCACCATCTTTTGTCAAATCCTCAAATTCCTCAATCACTTTTTCTTGATCAAACTTCGTCTCAATCTTCTCTACCACCATCTTCATGATTTTCCTACAATAAACACCTATTATAAGAATAAAAGATTTCAACTTTAGAATATTGCTAACCAAGATAGATTAGCTCACAATACCAGTAAGCAATTGATACAATTTGAGAAAAGGGGTTGGGGCTATTTTTGTTTTGGGGGNCTAAAAAGCTGTTTATAAGAACCTTAAAACTCTGATTTTGTTAGCTTATAAAAGTAGGTGTCAAACAAGCATAGACTGCAAATTTTCCTTTTCTTGATTGTTCTACACTGTTAGCTATCAGAACATAGTACACAAAAGACAAAGGTAAAAACATCAATTTGATGTTTGTTATAAAATAATCCAAAGAGGAATCTTTTTTATAGCTTATCAGACATACATATAAATACAGAAAAACTAACACTTCCATGGAATCTTTACTATAGCTATTTAGACATACATACAAAGACGAGAAAAATGATCTATAAATGTGTGTGTGTGTGGTTGGGGTGGTTTGGGGGGCGGGGGGAGAGATTAAGGTAACTGAAAGAAAGGACTAATGTACTCCATAGTCCATACTGACTTCACAATTCAGTGCTACTTAATTCGGAAAGTAACCTGAAAAACATTGAAAAAAGTTTTTTTGTAACCAACTAAAATAAAATAAACACAGTGAACTCCAGAATCAGACCAAACTCCAAAAAAGTTCACAAAGAAAAGCTCCAAAATAAAAATTTCCAAAAAGGGAAAAATATTTAAAAAGACGAAAAAAGGCTCTAGAATCCAAAAAAAGAAACAAAAATTGAAGTACATGAAAGCAGAACTTGTTTCAATAAAGTCACCAAAAACCAAAGTAATCATATGAATATTTGTAATGCTTATTATACCTGTGTTATAAATTGCTTAGAAATGAAGAAGTTAAATGACTCAGTTTTTTTTTTTAAGGGAATATATTATGTGAAGAGAAATATATATAGCTGGTGAATGACAACAAACGCCGTCCAAGGTGGGCCCCACGAACTTTTCGTTAACCAAAAATACCCCTAATATAGATTAGAGAATTGTAAAGGAAATAGTTAGGTCGATGCTGTGAGGGGAAAATGGGATATGTCCATTTATGGCATTTAAAGTTTAATGGCTTTGGCTGATAATGGATACTTTCCGTTTCAAATTATACGAGGTACTTTTTTTTAGTCGATTCCAAAATAAATGACATATTTCTAAATTTAAAAATAATTTAACTTTAAATTTTTTATTTTATTCATTTTATTCTTAATGAGAAGTTTTTTTAACCACACAAACGTTATAGTCCCAGAAAACTTTTAGCCGTTAAGCTTTTAAAACCACAAATTTCAAAAAAATTCTTTTTTTTTAAACTTAATACTGAACCAAACTACGTTATCTAAATTAAAATGGACGGAGCAAATGGAAGGGAAGTATGAGGAAGTCGGCCTTTATTGGCAAAAAAACAGGTAATTGGGTCTTTTCTAATGTCATAAGATCACTCTCCTTTCGAACGATGTTACCTTCCCAAAATTTAAGGCCTATCTTTATCTTTTGTACATGCCGATAAAAATAGTACAGTAATTCGGAGGTATATTTATAGCAAGTTAGTTAATTCTCCATTCATCTCAAATTATCCCTTATGATTTTAGAAAATAGTTATTTCAAATTATTTGTCATTTTAAAAGTTCAAGACAAATTTAATTATTTTTTTCTATTTTACCCTTAGTAGTAATTATTTTGAAGACTACAAATACCTTAATTGTAAGGTAATATTATGATTGTTCAAATATCAATAGTACATAAATAAGGGTAAAATAGTCAAAATACTTTCTAATTCTTATTTCTTAAGGGGCTTATATAAAAAAAAAATACGACAGATAATTTGAGACGGAGGGAATACATAGCATGACCTTATTTGCATATAAATCTCAACAGCTTAGCTATGAGTAGTTAAATAAGTACTCCCTCTGCCAAAGTTTACTTATCCACTATATTGAAAATAGATGTTCATTTTTACTTTTCCAGATTTAAAAATTAATGGATAATTTACCATTTAGACCTATTTTACCCTTCTTATTAAGTATTACTTATTTTCAATTTATTTTTCAACATATATAAATAGGGGTGATATAGTAAAATTATCATGTTCTTTATTATTTCTTAAAGGACACGTAAACTTGGACGGAAGAAGTATATTCGTATCTCACTAATAAATCTACTTAATGTGATAAACTAGTACTATTATATAATCTAACAATTGAGTGTTGGTAAGTATTTACCATATTAATTACTCTCTCTGTTCCAGTTTATGTGAACTTATTTCCTTTTTGATTCATTCTAAAAAGAATGACCTCTTTCTAAATTTGGTAACAATTTAGCTTAAACTTACAATTCTACCCTTAATGAGATGCTTTTATAACCACACAAATATTCTGGGCCTCTTTTTGACTTGTTTAGGACTACAAATTTTAAAAAGTCTTCATTTTTTCTTAAACTCCGTGTCAAGTCAAACATGTTCACATGTATTGAAACGGGGAGAGTACATATTTGTGATTTTATCAAATTAAATAACTGAATTTGGTTGTTGACTTTTATGGTATGTTATTTACTGGGGAAGATAATAAATTAAAGCATGATTGTATTTTATTTGTTGATGTTTATGGTATGTTCTTTATTGGGGAGTAACAAATTAAGGATACTTGTAATTTATTTGTTGAATTCTATGGTAGGTTGTTTATTGGGGAGTGATGAATTGAAGAATAATCGTGCATATATCAATATATATATATATATA